GGCTGGTGCTGCGTCTCTCACCTTCGTCTATTCTCTAGACTACGCCCGAACCCGGCTGGCAAACGATGCCAAGTCCGCCAAGAAGGGTGGCGGTGACAGGCAGTTCAATGGCCTGATCGACGTGTACCGCAAGACCATCAAGTCCGACGGTGTCGCCGGTCTGTACCGCGGTTTCTCCATCTCGTGCGTCGGCATCATTGTGTACCGCGGTCTGTACTTCGGCATGTACGACTCGTTGAAGCCCGTCCTGCTTGTCGGCCCGCTTGAGGTACGTACCGCGTAGATCGTAGCTTTGAGACGTTATTCCTCGTTCGCAGAGCGTTCTAGCTCTCTACCCTTCAACCCGGCACTGACCACAGTAATTTATTTCTGCTTCTAAATTGCAGGGCAATTTCCTTGCCTCCTTCCTGCTTGGATGGGGTATCACCATTGGTGCTGGACTCGCCTCGTACCCTATTGACACTGTCCGACGTCGGATGATGATGACCTCTGGCGAGGCTGTCAAGTACAAGAGCTCCATGGACGCGTTCATGCAGATTATCAAGAAGGAGGGCACCAAGTCCCTCTTCAAGGGTGCTGGTGCTAACATCCTGCGTGCTGTTGCTGGTGCTGGTGTGCTGTCTGGCTATGATCAGCTTCAGCTCCTTCTCTTCGGCAAGGCCTACAGCGGTGGCGGCGGCTAAGACCTGTTAAAATTTCCGTAGTAACTTGTGGTGTACCAGCCCTGATGTTCCAGCTTTGAATTGATACTATGGTGAACTTGTGGTTGTTTTAAAACGATAACACATCAAGATATTATTGTAACCAAAGATATGGTGCACAAGGTACATGTACAAAACTCGTCCAAAGCTTTTCAGAATATGTACAAACCTACCAGCAAACCTGTTTGGGAATCCTCCACTCTGTGCAATCCTTATGTGGAACAGAAACACTCTGCAGAAGTTATGGAGACGTGCATGAGGCATTGCAACTGGATGTTTCATGAAATATAAGTTGAGGTGAGGTGTTTGATGTCTGTTTGCTGTACCGTATTTAATTGGAAATTAGTACAGTAGGCTCACATTCTCTTTTCACCTTGTGACCGTATTGAGCATGGTCACCTCCTTTCTATCACCACTCAGCATGGTCATCCCCTTTTTATCAATGTTTGCAATCACCAGCTTTTTTCAATCAAATTGTCAACCATGTTGTAAGAGATAAAATATGATTACCCGTTCTGATGTGTGGTGTGGAGCATATGTATTTCATTGGTGAGGTTGTCGTCCCCCCTGACCATCCTGAGGCGCCGTTTGTCGCCATCCACCAAGCAGCTCAACCCTTGGTCATTCGTTGAAGCTTGTTTTGGGCAGATGGAGGGGAGGGTAAGGCAGGGGGGGAAGTACCCACACCCGGCCGTCAATCGTAATCCGCCTCCCCATTCCCCCTTAACTCCTCTATCCACTCCAAGGGACAGGCAGGTGGGGTAGTTGTGCGCGCAATTCGAAAGTAGTCTTTGCAAAAGATCGGGGTGCAGCATTTTGCGAGTTTGAAAAACATGGGATAGTGTGGCAAGCTTAGACACTTAGGCTGCGTTCTGCAGGCGCATCAGCTCTGATGCGCCCTAGGTTCGGCCTGATCCGCACATTGACAAATTGAGGTTCGGGAATGAGTAATTTGAATTTGAAAAATAGAGGTTCGGAAAATGGAAATTGAGGTTCGGGAAATCGGGAAATGGAGATTTGAAATTTAGACATTCCCAATCTCAATCTCAAATTTCCGCGGGATTCCAGCTAGTTGAAGGGCTCGCCCAAGCAGGGAAGCACGAACTTGACACCTTCCCCATCGGCATGAACTTGGCTGCCGGACTGCCCACACACTAGTCGGGTAGCTGCCTAAAAATCTGCAGGGGAAACCAGACAACCCCTAAATGCCCTGTGTTGTTCTGACGTGGGGCAGCAGTGGGCCATTCGAGCTGATGCGCGCATCATGAGTCTTCCCGGCGTTGCATCATGCGCGCATCAAGGACGCGTCAGATTGCTAGGACGATAAATTTCTCGGAACGCGGCGACATGTTAATTTGTGGTGGCCAATAAGACCGTTCTGCAGGCATTCGGGCTTGGTTTGCCTCGGCAGCCAAGCGCTTATCGCGAACCTTGATAACCTTTCGGCTGGTTATCAGGGAAGGCTCCTGGATCGTCGAAAAAAAAATGCAATGTGCACTGGTGCGGGATAATGCGCCTGCAGAACGCGGCCTCAGGAAAACAAAAGTCTGGGAAATAGGTGTGTGTTCAAAAATTGCCTACATTCGCGCTGTATCGCAGCTGTTCCACTGTCCCTACTTGTGCTGCGTGGACGGTTGCGGTTCTTACCAGTCTTTTTTTTTTATCAAGGGAACTGCGATACGGATTTGTGTTTTCGCAGGGCATCCAGGCTAATACAAATGGACAAATCTTCCCCGGGTCAGCAAATTTGGTGTGGTACTGTAATGTCTCTGGAGATTGTCGCTGAAACTTGGCTCAATCTCATCTCGGTAATACAACCTTCAAATTGGACCCTTAATGAGCACGGATTGTTGCTTGAAACACTCCTCTTATCGCAACGCCGCAAATTTCTCGTTCCTTTTTTTGTCGTTACATCAAATAGTGAGAGCAATTGACCAGACATGCCTTGGCACTGTTCTCAGTGCCTCTTACTATACCTCACACAATGTCTATGTGATCTGGAAGTTGGATTTGCGCGTAGTAACTTTTGGATGATCATGGCCAGGTTTTAGGGGTACGTGTCCTCGAGAGACCACTCTCACTTACACACACATCAAACCAGATAAGTGTATTTCCGTTCCCGTTGGTTGACCCTGAGGAGTCGGGGAAGGACTTGTTCCACCCTTCATAATTCTGATTAGCAATTTTGTGACATGTGGAACCGTAGGGTATCCTCTCAAAGCAAGTGAAGTGACCATCAAGCATTCCCCTTCGCCCGCTTGCCAATCGCGTCCTTTCTGTATCGTTCTCGGGATCAGATGCATGAGTGTTTGAGAGTGAGGGAGAGGAGGCGAGTGACCCGCGGCGAATGGAGGGAAACCTACAGCGAGGGAAACTCGACCAATTCTGGAACACATCTCTCACACAAATGTGAGAGATGGGACTGTGGGATTGATTACGAGAAGCGGAGTCGAGGGGGGTGTTGGGCAGGTGGGGTGTTTGAACCGTACACCCTCTTTCTCACCTCTCTCACCGGCGGAAGCACTGGCTACAGTGTTTGGACGTAGCGGGCTGGTGAGATAAGTCGGTTGCGGGCAAAGTCGCACGAGGGTTTGAAACACGCCTTGGGCCGTAAAAAACCATTAACGTTGAATAACCGTCCTGACCGCTTTGAAAACAACAGTACCATTGTAGAACGTAGAAAACCTTGACTAAACGCCCTGGGTCAAATTGTCACTGTAACGCATGTGATAGGACCTTCTTTGGTCCGGTGCGGCTACACTAAGCGTCTCGGTCAGTATAACATATGCCAGTCTATCGAGAATGAGGGTGTAAAAGATTTGACGCTGCCCACTGCCACCCACTGTCGAGTGTAGTGGACAACACTGGGCTGAGGGACCTTGACCTCTTCTCGGTGCTTTGTAGAGTTCTGTACACAGTGCTGTTGCACACTGTCCACTGGGAGCAGCACTACCACGAGCGGAAACTGTGCTTCTCATCCATCTCAGCTCAGGTTGACCTCACATCAAGCTCTCAGCTCAAATCACCACCACACAAACACCGATACCTGACGTGTCCTGTGCCATGCCTGGACAAGCTCCGTCCATTCACATTTTCTGTTTCATGCCGTAATTTTCCCTTGGAATATCCACACACACCCAACCATCGTCGGATTCGCCGAAGTAACTAGAGACGAGACCAGAGACGAGGTGAGGTCATTCCAGGGGAAACAATCCTCCCTCTCACCTACGAACTGTACCCCTTCGCTTCGTAAATCGCTTGTCTTCGCATGCTCATCTCCGCGCGTGTCTGCAGCTGCACGCGCCACCTCTGCTCCTTACGAACTTCAGGCTTAATTCCCGCGCATTCTGGGGGGCTCCTCATCTGGAAATCCAATTACACAGGATTTTCTCTCACAGTAGCCCATTGATCAATTATCGGCACCGGTCTGTTTTCGCAGCCCGTTACCTCTCGTCCCAGCATGTCTGTTTTGGGGGATCTGGAATGGATGTAATTCATGTTCCACCCTAGTAACCCGCCGGGTCTACGCCCATGTCAGGGGGCCACGCGGCGGCAGCCGCGGCGGGCAGCGCGGGATCCCTGCTGCTAGACGACAGTATCGGCCTCTTTTTCTTAGACGACCCGCCCTTCTCATTCTCAGCGGGCGGTGCTCCCTCGTGGTCCCCCGCAGATGCCGCTGTACCGCTGACAGATCACACCCCTGCGCCGCCGCCGCCGCCGCGCGTACCCGGCGCTGCATCTGACGCAAAGCCTCTGCTAGGCGAATTCACTAGCGCCTCTGCGGAGAGCCAGCTAATACACGGTCGCGATATAGACGGTCTCGCAGTAGGTGATTGCCTCGCGCCGGTGGAGTCGGCGCGGGGGGATGGGGAGATACCGGGGAGAGGGGTCGCGGCGGGCTGCGGTGGTCAGAGCGAGCGCGCACGAGTCGCAGGGGAATTGCGCGACGACGACGACGGGGATGCGTGTATGTGGGGGGTAGTGGGTGACGGAGAATTAGGTCCTGGCACGGGGTTCGGAGCGGTTGAAAACGGTATCGACGAGGGGATGAATGTCACGAGACGCGGAGCGACGGAGCGGGGCTTAGGCGAATATGGCATTGATTTCGACTGCGGTGGCGGCGGCGGCGGAGTAGGAGAAGGAGGCGCAGTAGGCGGAGGCGACGGCGGAGGGGGACGGGAAGTCGAAAAGGGCGGAGGTGGAGGCGGAGGCGGAGGCGAAGGGGGAGGTGGAGACGGAGGCGAAGGGGGAGGCGGAGGGGAAAGGGGAGGGGAGGGGGGAGGGAGTGGCGCGGGCGGCATGTTCATGCGGTGCGGCGAGGATGAGGAGCTGGACGAGGCTGGGCTGGTGGAGGGCGGACTCATTCTCGCTGACGTCAGCGGCCACGACGCTCCAGTGTTTTTGAGCGACCGTGGCGATCACCGCGACAGTGCGACGGGTGCTCCCTCCCCCGCCGAAGCAGAGGAAGCAACAGCAGCGGCTTCGGCGGCGGCGGCGGCAGGCGGGGCGGCACGTGATTCTGCCAGGCCCAACTCTGATGTAGGTACTAACGCTTCTCGCGAATCTGGACCTTCTCGTGCTACGGCGGCTCCGGACGGCGGCGCTGCTGGAAACGCGCCTCGGCACGATCGCGTATCGGACAACACCACTCCTATGGACATTACTAGTAGCTACTATAAGCAGGAATCCGCTTCAACAGCGGAGAATACCAACACCGGGGCGAACGCGGGAGAGACGGCGTGCGGTAAACTCCCGCCGCCTGTGCCGGCGTCTGCGCCTGCCCGCGCGCCTGCATCCGCTGCAGCGGCATCAGCGGAGGGTTCTCCCAGTTCCGTCCGCGGCCCCGCGCAGGACTCTTCCGGCAGAACGCTGGCAGGCGGCGGCGGCCGAGGGGGCGGCGGCGGAGGCGGAGGAGAGGGCGAGCGGGGTGAGGAGTCGTGGGGGTGCTCTGAGGGGCCAGACGAGGAGCTGTTGCGGCTGCTGGATCAGCAGCACTGGAGCTTCCTGCAACAACCCGTCGAGGCGGAAGCGGAGGCGGAGGCGGAATCGCTGCCTCCTGCGGATGCGCGTGTTCCTCCCGGCGAGAGGATTATTGGCGAAGGTTTGGCTGCTGCAGCATCGGGTGGTGGTTACCACCACGATGCTGGTCGCGGTCGCGACGCGCCGCACGACGTGTCCATGTCGCACGCGTCGCGCATGTCGTACGCGTCGCAGGGGTCGCTCATGTCGCAGGAATCGCATGGGGTTGCGCTCGGCGGCGGCGGGCTTTCTCCGCGGAAATCCTCCGCGCGCTTGCCGCCGCCGTCTCCGCCGAAGCTGCACACCGCGGGAGCTGCAGCCGTGCAAGCGCCATTCCCCCTGCGTAGCGCTGGCGCGGCTGCGCCCCGTCAGGCGCGCGGAGGGCCTGCGCGGAGTGCGCCCCAGCCGCAGGGTAGCGTGGAGAGCGCGGTGGTGGTGAGTGGCGGAGGGCCCATGGGATCAGGGGGAGTGGTCGCAGCGGCGGATGGAGGAGAGCAGCAGGTGAAGGAGCAATGGGAGCAGCAGCTGCAACAGCAGTTAGGACAGGCGCAGAGGCAGCAGGTGCAACAGCAGATGGAAAGAAGGTCTGTGCCGGCGCCGTTGGTGGGAATCGGAACAAGGGCACGGATTCAAGGGGAGGGCAGTAGATCGGATGTTGCAGCAGCAGCAGCAGCAGCAGCAGCAGCAGCAGGTGCAGGGCTATCGGGCAGTGGCGGCGGAACAGCAGCGGCAGCAGCAGCGGCGGCGGCGGCGGCGAGTGAGGCGGCGAGGGCGGTCCCTTCAGGTGCGGTGGCGGAGATGTGTTCCGGGGGGAACGCTGCAGTGGCCATGGCATCCGCGGCGGAAGCCATTGCTGCGCGCATGGCAGGCGCTCCGCGCCTCACAAGCAGTGGTAGCGGCAGCGGCAGTAAAACGGCTGGAGCAGCATTGGGTATGGTAGAGGAAGGCTGGGCGGGTGGGGCAGGCGCAGGGACAGGGGCAGGGGCAGGGGGAGGGGGAGGGGCAGGCGGAGGGGCAGGTGGGGGTGGTAACCGCAGCCGCGCCAGAGCTGCCGCTACTGTTGGTGGTGGGCCGACAGCTGGCCGCCACACGCGACACGCCAGCTGGCAGCTGGGCGGGTCGGCCTCGCTTGTCTCCACTCTCGTGCTCACGCCTCAGGGCGTGGCTCTGGGCGGCAGTGGGGGCGGCGGTGGTGGCGGTGGGGGCGGGTGGGGGGGGGAAGGGATCGGAGGGCTGGGAGCTGCTGGTGGCAGTGGTAACCAGGTGGGTGTTACTCGTGTGCCTATTTCGCGAGTGGGTTCTGCTCGCACTGCAGAATCAGGAGGAGGAGGAGGAGCAGCAGCAGTTATACTGCCAGCTGGACCGGGCGGCACAGGATGGAGGCAGCGGGACGGCCGGATCCTAAGGAAGAGATGTGCCACGTGGACAGGAGGCGAGACGTTGGATGACGTTTGCGGTGGGGCGATGGACGGTGGGGGTGTGCTGTATGGGCTTTCTGGGATGGCAAGTGCAGGCGGAGGGGGTAGCAGCATGGAAGGTGCTGCTGCTTTCGCTGGTGCTGGTAGTGGGGCAGGGGTTGATGGTAGGAAGGCATGGGTTTCTGGTGGTGGAGGGATGGTGGGTGGTGATGAAAGGAGGGGGAGCTGGGAGGAGCTGCAACTGCTGTTGCAGGAGAGGGACCAAGGGGGGCTGTCCCACCAGCAGATGATTCTGCGGCAGCTGCTGCTGCAGCAGCAGCGGGACTTTCAACAGCAGCAGGCGAAACAGCAGCGGGGGTTGCAGGGGCGGCAGCAGGGGCAGCAGCAGGGGCAGGAGATGCGGGTTGGTGAGAGAAAGCCGTCAGAGAGCTCGGCTATGGACATGGTTATGGATGGCTTGATGCAGCATCCTGGTAGCAATAGCAACAATGCCGCTAGCAACAGCAAATCGGACGTCGCCAGGTGGCAGTCTCTGATGACCCTAACCCAGGGAGCAGGATCCATAGCGCCTGTCTCTTCGTCCAAGAAGGCCCGCTGGGGTTCCACTCAGAACAATCAGAACACTCCAAACACCCAAAACGTCCAAAACACATCTGAGACCTCCCCTGGCACCGCCGCCGCCTCTGCCGCTGCTGCCGCCTCTGCTGCTGCTGCTGCTGCTGCTTCATGTGCTGCAGCAGCCGCAGCGTCAGGGGTCGCATACTCCCAGCGGCCGTCCCTCCCTCCCTCTGTCTCCGCTGCTTCAATGGCTGCCGCTGCAGCTGCAGCAGGGGCCAGGGGAGCAGCAGGAGCATGTGCCACTGCTGGTGGCAGCGGGAGGAGTGCCATGCCAGGGCATGGCCTCCCTTCCCTCTCACACATGCACCCGCCTCTCTCTCGCTCCATGTCCGAACCCCTCCCCCTCCACCTCTTCTCCTCTTCCTCCTCTGCCACCTCCCCTCTCCCCCACGCCTACGCGTCGTCTCTCACCCCTCCCTCCTCCTGTTCGTCTATCCCCATAGCAGCCTCCTACTCTCCCGCAACAGCAGGTGCATCAACAGAAGCTGCAGCTGCAGTTGCTGCAGCTTCTAGACCCTTCCACGCCCCTGCGGCTGCTGCAACCGTCCCTATCGTCCCCATATCCCCAAGGGGACTTCTCACCCCTCCACCAGCCACACTCTCCGCCACTGCCGCCTCGCACTCCTCGTCCTCCTCCTCCTCGCCTTCCCTAAATAATTCCAGTGAGCGGCATCAAGCCCTGCAGCTGCTGCTCTCACAAAGACCGGAGCTGGGGCGGTTTTATAACGCGGACGGGAGAGCAGGGGTGGGGGGGAATGTGGGTGGGATTGCACGAGAGGGAGTGGGGGGTGATCAGGGGAGGCATCAGGCAGCAGGGCAGGCGGGAGCGGGGGAGAGTGGCGACTGGTATGAGATGAAGGTGGCTGTACAACTGGCTGCGGCTGCAGCTACAGCTGCTGCAGCTGGGGAAGGAGGGGGTGTTAGGGGACCAGGGAGTGGCAGCCGCAGTGGCAGCCGGGAGGGCTTAGCTGGCGCTGATCTGGCATCGCTGCCTGCTGCTGAGCTGGCAGAATTGATGGCGGGACGGGGGGGTGGCAGGCATGGGTTGAGTAGTGTTCCAGGCTCCTCGTTTGCACTGTTACAGCAGCACAAGCAACAGCAACAGCAACAGCAACAGCAACAGCAGCAGCAGCAGCAGCAGCAGCAGCAGCAGCAGCGGCAACAGGAACAGCAGCAGCTGCGTCAGGCACAACTTGGGAGTGTGAGTGCAAGAGATAAGGTGGGGATGGCAGCAGCCATGGCAGGGGGGGGCAGTGCAGCACAGTCTTTGGCGCTTCAGCAGCATCTGGAAGCAAAGATCCGAGCGAGACTGGCAGCAGCGTCAGGTGCAAAGCTGACAGATGTGGGTGCAGGGACGGCCATGGCAGTGGATATGGGGCTGCAGAGAGGGTCCGAGCAGGCAGACATGGGAACTGCTGGGCAGGCACAGCTTAGAATGGCTCTCATGCAGCAGCTTGTGCAGCAACAGCAGCAGCAGCAGCAGCAGCAGCAGCAGCAGCAGCAGCAGCAGCAGCAGCAGCAGATGCAGATGCAGCAACAGGAGCAAGAGCAGGTGGAGAGAGAGTCAACAAACGCTGACCTAAAGGCAATGCTGTTGATGCATATCGAGCAGCGGCAACAGCAGCAGCAGCAGCAGCAACAGCAGCGACAGCAGCGACAGCAACAGGCTGCTGCCTCTGCCACGGCAGCACATGCCGGTGCAAGTGACGCTCCTCCAGCAGCTGCGTTTGCAGCAGCAGCAGCAATCGCAGGAAGCACGAGTGCAGCTGCCACTGCTGCTGCTGCAGGGATCAGTGGTTTCGGCGGGGCAGGAGCTGCAACAGCAATGGCAGGAGGAGTGGGAGGGGGAGCAAGGGACTCACTTTCTCAGCTGCTAGAGGGGAAACATTCTGTTGGTGGGACGCATGCACAACTATCTGCTGCTACTGTAGCTGCAGTTGCTTCTCAGCTTGCATCTGAACAGCAAGGAGGGGGCATGCATGTGGAGGTGAGTCTGTTGACTGCACTCGAGTGTTTTCTCTCGATCTTACATAAATTACACCTGCCCAGTTTGTTTGTGCTGACTTTGAGCTCCTCTCCGTCTCTCTGCTTGTTTTCAGAATCGAACTGCTCAGCTTGCGCCACACACACCAGTGGTGCTCTTGCAGCAGCAACAGAGACAGCAGCAGCTGCAGCAGCAAGAGCAACACCAACAGCAGCAACAGCACCTTCATCTGCGGCAGCAGTTGCTTCAGCTTAGCCAACAGCAGAAGCAGCATCAACAGCAGCACCTGCTTCAGCAAAACCAGCAGATTCAGCATCAAAAGCTGCTGCAACAGCAGCAACAACAAATTCATCATCTTAACCAGCAGAAACTGGTACAGCTCCAGCAGCAGCAGCAACAACAACAGCCACTCCAACAGGCCTCCGCTATGGCTATGACTCAGCGTCTCTTGGCCAGCCTTGACCCACAATCTGGGGCTGGGAATTCAAACGAGCAAGGCAACAGTGGCATGTGGGTAGATACCTCAAGTTTTTAATTCATGGTTTCGTATGTTATGTCGAGGGTAGTAACTGATTCTTGGTTTTGAAGAACATGTGGGTGAAGGGAGTATGAAGTTCTGGTTTGGTACATTGCTTAGCATGGTCGATGCTCACACAGGCCCAACAGGCTCCACAATTATACACTCCTTCAGTGACTTGATTCACAGACCTTAATTCATTATTGCCATGTTCACACACCTCATCCTAGTACCGGTACCTCTGGAGATGAATGAAGTCTATTTGATATTTGCCTACTCTGTAAGTGCCTTCACCCTTCCATGGTCTGAGAAGTTCCGCTTCCAGAGGTACAAAGATTGAAGCAATCCCCAAGTAGCCATGACCAGAGCAACAGCCATGAGAGTCCCTTGGCTCGCTTTTATGAGCTGCAGCACAGACGGAAGGAAACCAGCAAGCCCAACAGCTGCGGAGTATACTGCCTGCACAAAGCCAAAGAGTTCCGCCCTGGACGCTCCAGAAAGCATGTAGGAGTTGTAGATTGACATGTAGTATGATAGCACCGTGACGGTTGAAATTGTCACAGCAGCCACCATTTCAGGCATTGCGACAAACTGAAGTCCGCAGGCAATCATGAAGGCGATGCTCATTCCTGGAAATATCTTGCCGTAGTAATGTGAAGGGTGGAGCTTCATGATAAATGTGAAATATGCGACTCCTCCCACCAAGTAGAGGAGCTGCAAGATCAATCCTTGCAGAAGAATGAAGTCTACAGCGCCACCACATAGCCCATGCTTGGTGGTAGATAGAGCAGCTCTTGTCAATGTAATCGGACCGTCGAACATGTACTCGAAGCAGCTAGACACCATAGAGAGGCAGACGCAGTTTGTAAGTATCACGCTTCCCCAGAAGTACTGCACCCGATACGTGAAGAACTCCAGCAGACCATTCAAAGATGTCCTGCCGTTTGCTTTTTCCTTCATGCACCCCTTTGTATTTGATTCATTGTCGTCCTTCGTCGCTGAATTGCGCTCCTGCTCTGCGGATATTCTATATGGTGATCCACCATACGACGTGCTCAAAGAGATGCTTGGGAGCAGCATTAACGAACACGTCAAGAGAACTCCGACGTCCATCAACCACCGAACGGTAACGTAATCCCCCTTCCACATGGCAGACAGAAGTGCCAGTCCCATGAGCGCGATCTCGTAGACCTCAGAGGCTAGATCTCCCAATGTACCAATTTTGTTCATGGCTTCTTCATGCAACAAGACGTTGGATCCAAACTTGAGTTGGACAAACATCTGCGAAGGGAGTGTGTTGTTGTGAAGCAAGTTATAACATATTGTAAGGCAGCAACCATGAATCGGGACTCACCTTAATAGCTTTCCAACTTGAACTTGACAACTGCATCTGTACGATGCATCTCAACGAGTATACCACGATGAGCTGGACATCGCTAAACGTGATTGTGAGTAAGGAGATGTAGACGAGGAGCAGCGCGGAGGAACAAAAAATCATGACATATGTGATGTGGTTCTGAAAGTGGTCGGAAATGAAGCCTGTCAACGGAGACCACAAGAGATACGCCACTGTATAGACCAGATACAATGCTCCGTACGAGGCTTCAAAATCGCAACCGACACGTTGAATGAGGAGAAAGTAAACAAAGTACTTATCCACGTCAACTAGAATATCCGCGCACCCCATGACTAGAGAAAATCTCCAATATTCCCTCCATGTGACATCTCCCACTAAGCAAAGTTCCTCCTCCCCAAGGGATGATCTGGACAGAGAGTCACCATCAGTTGACGAACCAGCCAACAACAGGCTAGTTTCCGAGTCTATGCTGGAAGTTCGTGAGCCATGCTCTATGCATGTTTCCTCATCCAATCCCTCTGATTCCATGATTCTGCGAATCAAGGCAAAATAGGAAATATGTAGTCAGATTTTCAAGCCTGTCATGACAAGCTGCTACTATTGAATGTCCTCCCTGACTCAACTTCAGAGTGGAAGGGGTTGATTGATCAATCAATCACTCTCTCGTGATGATGACATCATCCATTCGGCAACGGCCTAGCCACTACTTGGCGCGGCGCCCTGCGTTGGGGTCACCTCCTGTATTCCCTGATGTACAATTCGCAGTGCTGTACGATTGCTACCAGCAAACTTTCAGGAACACTTTAAGCGTAGTCTCGAACATGTGAACGCTATAGGAGTGATACTAATATAAATGCAACTTAAATGAATGTGATGGAAATTGGGTAAATTTACTAGTCTTAGCCATAAACTGTAAAAAGATAGCAAGAGTTTACTTCTAGCATAGATTGTGCTGCGATCAGAAGTTGATCGTGGCCTAGGATCTACTCAGGAAGGTTCGCACGCAGAGAAGTGGTGTTGGTGGGCCCTTGACCTCAATAGCAGAGTGAATGTAAATGCTTGAGATGATTAAGACATGCATACATCGAGTTTATATAAGAGTACAGGGGAATACGAAAAGACCTAGACTAGCCATGTACTCTAAGGGGTACATTCCCTTATTCAAATACATCCCAAACTGTGCGGCGCGAACAGTTACGAAACTGTTCCCGCCGAAACCATCCTGCCTGCAGCTGCCTGATGCTGTCTGCTCCGACGGTTCAGATGCGTTCCAACCGTCTGACGCTTCGCGTTCATTCGCGATACTGCGTGCTTCTCTTTGCTGCGGTGAGGAGTGCTCAGTAATATTCAAGTATTACTATTCGTCACACCCCCCTTCACTCCTGGCCGCAGCTCGACTTGACCTGCTTGACCACGCCACTGAGTTCGGAGCAGTGCTGATACTGCTGGCGTGGCAGTCGCTTCGTGAGGAAGTCTGCTGCCATGTCACCGGTCGGGCAGTAGGTCAAGTTGACCTTGCCCTTGTCCACCTCATCCTTCACGAAGAAGTACCGCAGCGCAATGTGCTTGGTGCGGTTGACGAAACCAGGTTTGTTCGCGATGCGAATCGCGCTCTGGTTGTCGCAGTGCAGGCGAAAGTTCGTTGAGGCCGGAATTTTTGCTTCCTGCAGCAGTTCCTGAATGTAGAGACCTTCGCGAACAGCTGCTGTTGCTGCGATGAACTCAGCTTCCGCCGATGACAAGGCAACCAACTCCTGCTTCTGAGAGTTCCAGGAGATGGGGCCGCTGGGCTCGAGGCGGAAGAGGAACCCTGTCCTGGACCGTCGATTGTCAGGGTCAGCGGCGTGATCGGCATCCACGTAGCCGACGAGACTGAAGGATGTGGTTGGGATGGTGGAGTAACTGAGCCCGACATTGGGCGTGGAGACGAAGAATTGAAGGGCTCGCTGAAGATCTGAGAGATTCTCAGCCGTTGGTTTGCGTGAGTACTGAGCCAACTGGCTCGCAATGTAGGAGAGGTCGGGCCTGCAGGTAACTGATGCGAAAAGCAGGCATCCCAACTGCTGCTGGTAAGTGTGAAGCCCAGCAGGGGACAGGGCTTTGCTGTCAGGCTTGTGGTTGGGTCCTGGAGTGCGGTAAGGGGTGGAGAGTGGTGCAGGTGCAATGTTGAAGCGCTTGCTAAGCTCCTCCGCATACTTCGCCGCTGAGAGATGAATGGCTTCCGGCGAGTAGGTGATGTTGAGTCCGAGAAACTGCTTCACGTCATGATTGCAGGTGATGTCGACGCGCCCTGCGAGGCTTCTCTCAAACTGCTCGAGCAGTTCGTTGCTTGAGCCTGTGTAGAGAAGGTCGTCGACGTAGACCGTGAGGAGGATGTATTCGCCGCGGAAATCGCGGCGATACATTCCAGGATCGTGAGGCAGCTGCTTGAACCCGATTTCAAGCAGTATGTTGTGCAGATACTGCTGCCAGAGTCTCGGTGCCTGTTTGATCCCATAGAGGGACTTGCGTAGCTGACAGACACGTGGGTCTCCGTCGCCGTAAGTGTGTGGCTGTTCCACGTAGATCACGGCGTCCACTAATGCGTACAGGAACGCATTCTTCACATCGATCTGCCGGAGTGGTAGGTGTCGTGCGGCTGCGATGGCGAGGAGAATTCTGACGGACGTGTGACGGCTGACCGGTGCAAAAGTCTGGTCAAAATCAATCCCGTGCCTTTGATCGTAGCCGCGTACCACCCAGCGTGCCTTGAATCGCTCAATCCTTCCGTCGGCTCCTGTCTTCACTCGGAAGACCCATTTGCCGGAGAGAATCCTTCTCCCCTTTACTGCTGCACGGTCGACGAGCACCCAGGTGTCGCGTGACTCGAGTGCCCGGATTTCCGCATCCATTGCTTCGCGCCACTCCTTGCTGTGTGGTCCAGAAAGAGCTTCGCGCGGATTTCGGGGCTCGATGACACGTGGCGGCTTCGAAGTTGCGGTGTGAAGCCCGAGCAGCTGCAGTCCTGAGATAGTGCTGTCGTGGCGACGTTGCGGGATGACTTCCTGTACGTCGTCGTCATCGCTTTCTGGTTCAGGAGGCGCTGGTGGTGCTGTGCCTCTGCCGCTTCCGCCTGTTCCGCTTCCGCCTGCTGCGCCCATTCCTCCTCCCGAGGAATCGTCGTCGTCTTCGTCGTCGTCGCTGCGTCGTTCTTCCCATACGAACTCGCCCCTCGTGTCCTGCTCCAAGATTGCTGCAGCGGCTTCGTCTTCGGGCGTTGCGTAGCTGTGCCCATCGTTAGCGTAGACGCGGTTTGCGTTCGTTTGTTCGTCGCGGCGGAACTGGTCGAGGAAGAGGCGCTCGTAGAAGATGACGTCGCGAGCGTGAGCGATTTTCTGACTGAGGAGGTCCAGCACGATCCACGCCTTGTACTCATGACTGATGCCGAGGTGGATCCCCCAGCGAGCGCGGCTGGCGAATTTGCCGATGGTTGAGGTCGGCGGGCGGTGTTGAACCATGCACCCCCATACGCGCAGCATGGAGGTATCCCCTTTGGTCCCGGTCCATTTGACGTGCGGGGACAGATTGCCGGTGATGGCGGTGGTCGAG